TCTCTCTCTCTCTCTCTCTCTCTCTCTCTCTCTCTCTCTCCCTTCCTCTCTGTAAAAATCAATAAAATAAAAAATAAATAAATAAATAAAAAGAATACAGGAAGAATTTCAAAAAATTGAAATTCAGTTTAGAAATAGTCATACTGGTTTTTGGTAACTGGTGCAAAAATCTCCTCAAAATAATTTAGACACATTGAAAAGATGCAAATGCTTTGAGAAAGCCAAGAAAGCTCATTGTTTTGTCTGAGTTACAGTTGGGCTGGTCTTCCACTTCTCCTGCACGCCTACCCTTCTCCTAATCTATGTGTTACTCTGACAGCTTTGGGTGAAAAGAGATCTATGGAAATCTGTAGCGAACAACTTAAAAAAACTAGAGCAGTCCTGCATTTTTTGCCGTAGTGCTAATTAGGGAAACATGAGCCCCACCTGCACCCACGCACACATTCCTTCACTTTTCCTTTTTAACTCAGGAAAATTAACTACGTTCCTAAGTTTGTTTTGCACCCTCCATGAACTTAGCGTAACATCACATGTACAAACACTTCTGAATTTTCTCAGCATGAACAATAATTAACTGTCCACGATTCCCTATAAAATATTCCCTCTTCTGGGTTTGTTTTTACCTTAGATTAACAAACCTTCTCTTGGATGTTGGTAAGTAATAAACAGACAATAGATGCCTTGTCCTCTAGAGCTGAAAGGTGTATTTCTGAAATCGCATGCTAATTATCATTACTGGATCACATTGAATATATTGGTTCAGATATGACCAATTATTTTTTTTCATTCTTTCAAACCCTTGTTTTATGTGTGTAATTTTCCCCCTTGCTTAGACCTGGTTAACCGTTTCTGTGAGCAGGTCCTCAATTTTTTACTTTGTCCCTACTTTCCTGTCCTAGCCCCATCTTCCCCTGGTGTCGACTCCGTCCCCTTGCAGCGCACAGGCAGCCAGCATGGCCCACCGAACGCTGCCACGGCCACCTTCCAGCGGGCCAGCTACGCTGCCGGCCCAGCCTCCAATTACGCCGACCCCTACCGACAGCTGCAGTATTGTCCCTCTGTTGAGTCTCCATACAGCAAATCCGGCCCTACCCTCCCGCCCGAAGGCACCTTGGCCAGATCCCCATCCATTGACAGCATTCAGAAAGATCCCAGGTGGGTACGAACCTTTTTCTTTTCCCTACTTATGTCCAAGAGGCTCTCTTAACCAGTCATTGTGTGAATGGCGATATTTTTTCCTACATCACATTATGCATTCATGTCATGGGCTGAGTATGAAAGGGTTGACTTTGGTTTTATAATCTTTTGTCTGATTTGGAATGTGGGTGTTGGTCCTGGATCCCAAGTATCTTCTGTGGTTCAATAGCAAACAGTATAGATGATCTTTGGATCAGAACATCGGTAGGTGCTCCAGCTACTTGATGAGATCTAGAACAACTATCTCTTTAATGCTCAGGAAACTGAGAATTGTGAATGATCTCAGTTGACTTCAAATATCACTGACTAGGTTTTTACTGTTTCAATGGATGCATGTTTTGTCACTCTGCATGTCTCTATCAGCAAGTAAAGTGGGCCATATACCAGACTATACTAAAAATTGAAAAACTTAGAAAATGAATATTATCTTCATTTTTCTGTGTCTGAAAGTAAACATGAGGTTAAAGGTGTCTGGGCATTGATAAAAAACATGAGTGTAATGTAGTAAAGAAATTGTTAGGTTGAGATATTGGGGGGGGCGGGGTTTGCTTTCTTTTTCAACATTGGCAAGGGATATAGCAATGCTCTACTTCTGAAGTTGGAATTGAATTCCGGCAGGATTAAATGATGTTTTATTCATAGCCATTTGATGTATGCTGATAGAGTCCCATAAATATATATCTGCATCTGTGAATACCATCGACATGTCAGATTTCTGGTATTTCTGTAGAGCAGGGCATGTGACTTGACTCTGGTGGCATACTTGAAATTTGTCTCCAGGAATTTTCTCTGATGGAGCACACAAGTGCTTATGTACTGTGTTGAGGGGTTTGCATAGAGTATTTTGTAAAAAGAAATCACTTCTACATACATAAAGGCAGAATGGGATTATTTTATGGTATTCTTTGAGATAGCTACTTCAGCACAATTGCACCCCGCTGGAGGGTTCATGCCAAATATTATATTTGATAGAACCTCCCTGGTAAAAGTGAGCTGGAGTAAATGTTCACTTCACTGTTAACTACTAGAACTAAGAAATATGCTTACATTTACATTGTGCCCCATCCTGCATATTCAGGTTTTCAATCTCAACAGCAATCTCTAGAGTATTGGTCTTGAAATCTGTCCCCAATCCTTATATGTTTGATCATGTGTAGATAGAATATTCTTCAGATTAACAGTTCAACATGCTATTTTAAAATAAATTTTCTTGACGTGCAACTGAAAACTTAAGAAATGCTAAGTAGAATATTGAATTGGCATTGCTTTATTTAACATTGCATATTTAAATTAAGGATAAGTGTCTTATCTCCAATGGGAAGGTTTTAAATGTTCATATTAAGGGAATTTGGCTTAATAAGAAACCAAATTTATGCTTCTCTAGCTACAGATAAGCTTCTTTATTTTTTGCTATGAGCTAAATGCATTTTATTTTACTAAGTGGCATGTCCTTTCCATTTTATATTACTGTCACTTGCATAGCTTTTTTCCTTCTTTCAGTATATTGTCATGGCTCTTAGCTTTTCAAGTTATGGATTATGTCACTTATATTTATTGGGTGCACTCTATAAACCAAAAAAGAGAAACACCAATAGGAAATGTTAGAATGAATAAGAGAATGTTGGGCACTAATCTTTTGTATGTGTAAAATTTATATGCAGATTAGCATTATATGAATTGCAGATTCAGTATGTTATTTTCAAGAATGCTAGGCATTGGCCTTAATGTGTTCACTTTGAGAAAGAAAATCATACCACCGTTCTGAGTCCAGCTGCACAAGTGAAACAGACAGAACCAGATCTAGAACCAGAACTGGCTTGTTGTGATTTAACACAAAAGGAACTAATACCCTGGCATCATGCAAAATGAATGGGGTATAAAATACAACAAGGCCTTGTAGAGTTTTCTTAAAATAAAGGACTAGAGTTAAGTGTTCATATTTAATTGAGATACATCCCAAATCCAAAATTCAAGTCTAAAACCTAATGATATTTTTATGACAACATTTTTACATTATCCTTCAAATAATGAATTTTTATCTTCCCCAAGTGACTATTACTAGAACTAATATATTTAACTTCTAGGATTCACAATTATTTATTTTGGCATTATTGCTTACAATTTAAGCTTTTTCAGTCTTTAGACTTCTTTCAGCTCTCTTACATATGTTTTTAAAGAGAGTGTTAACGTTTTATTTATCATTAAATACCAGACCATTTAAGCCTCTGTGCTGTTACAAACATGCCTCCATAGCACAATTTCATAGCAGTTTTATATACATCTTTGATGTAATTCTCCTTTGTGGGGGAAAACTAATATCTCCGTATGCCTTAAATAAAGGGAAAACTGGAGTGTAAATGACTTATGAAGATCACAGTGCTGACACAGGGGTACGCAGATAAAATTCACACTTATGGCATGAACATAATGGCATGAACATTTTTATTTCCTTATAAAAAACAAAAAGGAAGAGGAAAGAATATACTCACATCTTGTATGATTTTTTGGAGGGTGGCAGTACGAGGTGTCTTTATGTAGGTGTTGGGAGAAATGAAGGAAAGCATGCAAATGGTCTAAGTAGATCTACTCTCTGATGATTGCTTTTTTGATTGGCCTTTGTTTTATTTCTCCTTTCTTTTCTAATGTCTGTTTTATTTCTCTTTTTGCAGACCAGTGTCTTTTCACTATTAAAGAGTTTTAGTATTATTCAATAAGAGGTTTTCAGAGTGTGCACTTTAAAATAATAAATTGAAGTTAAGATGCCCCAATTCGGTCATTAGACTTGAAACCAGAGAACCCCTACTAACCCTTAATTCCTCTAAACCAGCGGTTCTCAACCTGTGGGTCACCAACCTGTGGGTTGCAACCCCTTTGGGGGTCGAAGGACCCTTTCACAGGAGTCACCTAAGACCATCGGAAAACACATATATAATTACATATTGTTTTTGTGATTAATCACTATGCTTTAATTATGTTCAATTTGTAACAATGAAAATACATCCTGCATATCAGATATTTACATTACTGATTGAAGGGTATGTACAAGGTATGTACATGGGTTATTACGATTCATAACAGTAGCAAAATTATAGTTATGAAGTAGCAACGAAAATAATTTTATGGTTGGGGTCACCACAACATGAGGAACTGTATTAAAGGATCGCAGCATTAGGAAGGTTGAGAACCACTGCTAAGCCCTGGGATGTGAAAGGTTTGGTTCTGAAGGGTTGGGGTTTTCCAGCTTGCCTGCCTCAGTCATATAGATTTTTGTTGCAAAACTTTGGCCTTTCCACTGTTAACTGCCCCTACTCTGTACTTCAACAAAGAATGTGCAGAAACCTTTTTATGCAGGAGATGGTAAAGTCTAATTTCCTTTTTATAGTCACAAGTCACTTTGAAAATGTTTATATATATGAATTTTTCTTTACGGCCACATTTGTGAAGCTTTTATTTCTTCATTGCATGTTATCTTCCATAAAATGTGAATCTCTTAAGAATTATTGTCATGGCTAATACATTTTTTGATGCTGTACCAAAGATAGCATTATATACTGTTGTTTTTAAGTATATAGGTTAAATATAAATCTTCAAATCAAAATAATATGCATGAGGTGTCAGTGATGTTAGGAGTGAGAAGACATAGCATTCTTATTTTGAAAATGTGATTAGTGAAATAGCTGGAGAAAAATAAAGCAAGACTGATATACCTGGTAGACTAACGGTACTATAAATGTTCTCTATAAAAGAAGAAAAGTTTGGGTAGAACATTTATTGACATAGCTTAACATATAGGTAATAGCATCTTTTCATCATGTTTGATTACTCTCTTCTCAAGATATTATATTCATTCATATACACTCTCAAAAACAATTTTTCAAAAAAGCTTAATGAATCTAAATTATTGTAAACATGATTTACAGTAAAAAATCTGTCTTATTTTTTTTTTTACTCAACATAATAGAGAAATAAATACAAGGGCACATCTTCACTGCTGAATGTGGTTCTGTCAAACTTATACAACATATTTTGTTTCAAGCTACATTTAAGATAATAATTTTTTCATTATTGGATATTATTAAATATTATTATAAAATAATACTGCTTATAAATACCTTATAATTAGGTAAATCTGTGTTAAGAACATTTCCACATGTTTTTTCTTCATTGTTTGCCTACTCAATTAAACAAATCACAGAGTGTGTAGTGAATTGAGGGTTTAGGAAACAAAATGTACCCCAAAACTGATTTTTGAAAGGTAAAGTTTCAAAAAATATTTTTAAAAAATCTTTATTAAATTTTAAAGTACTATTATTATGTAACCTAAGTAACATGGCTGAACTGTTTGCAATTAAACAGTAATATGATAGTCTTCATAGTTTAGTTTTCTTTTTAAAAATATGTTTTTCTTGATTTTTTTTAGAGAGGGAGGAAGGGAGAGGGATAAAGAGATAGAAACATCCATGAGACATCAATCATTTGCCTCCTGCACACCCCCTACTGGGGATTGAGCCTGCAACCCGGGTATGTGCCTTGACCAGGAATGGAACTAGTGACTTCTTGGTTCATGGGTTGGTGCTCAATCACTGAGCCACACCATCCAGGCCGAAGTTTCGTTTTCTTAGGTGGGGAATCTCTGGGGAATTTGACTTAAAATGCCCACTAATTAATTATTTATTTAACTGGGGAATTGTCTGGGGGTGGGAGGAGGATAAAGCATATGCAATCTGAGGACCTTCAGAGTATAAAGAGTACTGGGAAGGCATTTATTCAGTTAGGCTAAAAGCAAGTCTGACAAGTGGCCATTCATTCTATGCTTGGATGCCTTGGCCACTCACTATCTCTGGGAGAATTTTATGAATTCTTTGAATAACTCAAACCTTGAAAACTAATTTATATTGATAGAAAATCTGTACGCTCATTCCCTGATGTTATTTCTAACCTCCTAAATCATATGAGAA